TGACCTATCCATTATGGGTCTCTTCCCTACTACCTAAACTTCCACGCATCTGATCTACTGTAGATGAGTAGGAGGCCAGATGATTCTGGATAGTTGATGCAAGTACACTTTGCTTTATGTCCGGGAAAAATAAAAGCATGTGTGCCATATATTTCTAACTTCTACCATATTTTGATTGCACCAGCGGTTCGGTTTTAAAAGACATCCCCTGTCCCTGGATTGTGATGGTTTCACAGGTATACACTTATCTCCAAAGATACAACTCATCAAGTCGTAGATGTTAAATACGTATAGCTTTTTATATGCCAATCGGTATCTCAATGAAGTGGCTTTTAAAAATGCCGATTCCTGCCAAAAATAAAGCCACACAAGCGGAGGAAGAAATGACCTAAAACAGTCCGAAGCAAACATTGGTGTGGTGTGTTAAGAATATGTGTGCTGGAATGCAAAATAAGCACGTATGTCTGCTCTGGCCTTTAGAACTCCAACAGAAATACTGCACACTTACCTTGGGGTATGGTTCATTTAGAAAGACGTTACTGAATTTTTAACATGCCTTCCTCATTGTGTTTTGCTTGTGTCAACATTAAAACTCATCCTTATTCCTAGAACACAACTGGCTGGCTATGGCTGGGGAAGGTAGACTGGGAATCTGTGAAATTCAGAACTGACTTTAGGTAAACTCAAGAGGCTTTATTTATTCACACACACACACACACACGGATAAGCATACCTGGAAAAGTAGAAGAAATTAATTAATTAATTAATTATTAGTAGTAGTAATTAGCCAATTTAACAAATAGTTGCTAAGTACCCGATATACTCTGCCTGAAAAGGCAGTAGTGATAAGGGGGTTCAGAATATTAGTAAAACATGACCTTTCCTCTTCCCAACAGTGGAATTAGATCAAGTCCCCACCTCCTGTATGCGTGGGACAGTGTCGTACACATGGGGCTCACGAGTACTGAATGAATACATATAAACATAGGGAAAAGTCTTCAGGTTGGACATGTGAACCTCTGGAAGCAGAATTTAAATGACTGGCTTAATGCACACTGCTTCTAGAGGAAGTATTGTTTTATTTATACAGAACTGTCTAAAACTGATGGCTAAATAGTTGAGTGAAAAGCCCCCAAAAGAACCTAGATCAAGGTCCTTGCACAGGCATGCCCCCCCCTACAGCAAATTCTGTGGGAAACCCAGAATTTCAGATTTCTCCTAAAGTTTGTGTTTAATCATCAGAAAGTAAACACAGTCTAGACTTTGGAAATCCAGACGAGCGATGCATATACGCCAGGGTGGATGGGACCTCGTGGTGCGTTCACCGAGGGCCGCCCGTGGGTAATGTCGAGCTCCCTAAGCTGCAGTCTTCGAAGTATGGTGTGGAGACCACCAACCCAAGGGGCTTGTCTGCCCTTCGTAGCAGAAATGTTATGTCCTGGCCTCCAGGATGTGCATAGGGGACACTCTAACGAGCATTAAATCTCATCAGCAGACCTCTAAATCGCTCTTCAGAAACCAACGAACAGGTAAGTTACCATTTATCCAGCATTGAGAAGTCACTTCAGTGGCTAGAAAGAAGGAATGTTTAAGCCAAATGAAACTCAAAAAGATAACATTTTATTTTCAGAGCAGCTGATGCAATATCGAATCAGGTTTTCACAAATAAATAGGACAGTGTCTGTTTGGTTACATCTCTATTTAATGAAGGCCTATCTATAGGAACTGTAATAAATTTCTGAGAAGGCTAATGACTGGAACCTTTGAAGTAAAATTCTTCTGGCTCTCTTTCGGGAAAAAGGATCGTGGTAACTTAAAAAAATGCTTTTCACTCAGGGGGAAAACCAACCTAGAATGCCTCAGTTTTGTTTTGAAGGAATGCACCTTTTTAGGACAAGTCTATAAAACATCTTTATTTATTTGTTACATATGATGTTTAAATATAACTTTGCTTTCAAGCTTCAAACTTTTTTTTAAACCCCTGGTAAAATAAGACTTTTGGTTCACCTTAACAAAAACTGACCTAGGAAGAAACATTTTTAGCAAAATGTATTATAAAATTCACTAGAAAATACTGTCCTCTTTTGGCCAAAATGTTACATAAAATCCTTATTAAAAATACACACATTACAAAAGAACAATTATGAAGATGCTATACATAGTGCTTCTGATATGGACCAAGGGACCTGCATTCCGGGGAAAATACAGTTAAGTACGCTAAATATTATGATGTCAACTTATAATAGTGCAAACCTGAATAAATTACATCCTGAAATGGGAAGGCATGCAAATCATTTGCTGAGAATAGAACATAACGAAGCCAGAACAGGAAGCAATCACTATTTAAAAATGTTTTCGTTTTTATTACATTACTTTTTTTTTTCAAAAATACTTTTCTTTACAATAGAACTCCTAGAAAATATTTACAACCTTCCTCTAATAAAATAGAACAGCAGTTAAATATATTTGAAAATAAGATGGGTTTTTCCATAAAATATATCTGTTAACTTTTTATATACAAGCTTTCTCAAAGAGGTCTAAATTCACTAATGAAAAACCATCTGATAGTAAACAGTAATGGTGTTGAAGACATCAATCTTAAGGAAGAGAAGTTCTTGGGGTGGGGAGGGGTGAGGGAAGCAAAAATACAACACATACATGCAGGCAGAATCATTTCAGAAACAAGTAAGTGCAATATTTTACCATGAAGTCAATTCTTTTAAGTTGATATTGTCAAGAAATACTACTTCAGGAATTTGAACTGTCTCGGGAAGGAGGAGTTCTTTGGTTATTTCGAGTCAAAAATGCTTACGTTATACTGCATGAAAAATCAAAATTAAGTTGTGCATTACATTTTTGCCTTGGCAACTCGGTTTATTTTTAATGTTTAAAACGGGAACGGCTGGGCAAGTCTCCAAACGCAGCAAGTACATTTGCTTTATAAACATGTTTCTGGGTGTTTGCTCCTTTGATAGATAAGCCTTCATAGACCCGATAGCAGAACCATTCCAGAATCTCTCAGACACCAGCACGCAGAGGGAAGCAGTCACCGGGACAGACGCAGTCAGCTGATGTGACCGCTGGAATGGTTCTGGAACAGTCCTGCCACAAAGTTGATGCACACTGCCTAGGCAGTTCTAACTCAAAACCTATGAGAATAACCTAAAACGGCAGCAAATAAAACCTTTCTTTTTGCCTATAGAAAAGATGAAATGAAACCTCCAAGACCTCTTTGTCTGAAAACAGAATGATGGAAATGGAAAGAAACCTTTATTATTTCTCTTCTGCCCATGGCTTTCCTGAGATTCAGAGAACATTGCCCATAGGTGGGGCCGCTGTGGGCCATGAGTGGGTGCTAAATGCTTCTGCCAGAGTCAAACTTAAAAGACGCTCAGGACCTGTCCTCTGGTTTCTGCCGATATTCTCTCTAATGTCAAGCTATTAATTAGTGGGCCAGCCAAGTTGCCTGGGGGGATGGGCCACACCTACACAGGCTGGGGAACCAGCCTCCCCGGGGTGGGGCGGGGCCTCAAAGCCCTTGCTTCCGAAGCAGCCCGGCAGCTTTAAAGCTCAAGGGGGAGCTGCCAGGGGCTGTCCTCTCTGCCCCGGCTGACTGACTCGGACTCTGGAGACGCGTGCTCATTTGCCCTAACAGGGGGATGGGGCAGTCTGACTCAGTTCAAAAGCCTGAGCTAAATGCCATTTTTGAAGGATTACAGGCTTATTACCTTCAAGTACAAACAGCAACCCTGCTACAACAGACAGGAGGAAGCAGAGCAGAGTGATGTAGCTTGGAGAATTCTAGAAGTGCTTTGGTAAATGACTTGAATGAATACATTCCTTGTTTGAATGCAAACATTGGAGCTAAAGTGGTATCTGAAACCATTTCTGTTGGCCTTGAATGCTACTGCACTTGTATTTGCTATCCAATGTGTTGGGAAACAGTCTGGCAAAGGTGAATTAACAGCAAAACCCCAGTGAATGAGGTTTCATGGTACTTCCAAGTGGCACAAAGTAATTTCAGAACTCCACAAAACCATTCACAGCGTTGCCAAAAAGAGCAGGGGCTCCTCTAGTCTAGTTTTTGGGCCGAAGAATGCTTCTGCGCTTTCCTGAATGGGTGCCCCTCAACCACCCTCCCTAAAGAGTCCCGGCAACTTAATAGTGGGGGTTATTTACCTCCAGCCGGCGTGGGCTCATGCCGAGATACGGCTCTGCCAATCCACGAATCAGAGCCACTGGTCCCCCGGGAACACGGAAGAGGGTGCACTTCCTCTCTGAACCAGGTCCTCAGGAAAGCACTGCCGGGGAGTGAAAGCCTGAAATTATACAGTACTTTTGGAAACAGGCTAACGGTGACAGGCGAGGCAGGGAGAAGACTTATTTTCACATTCGGTCAACTTTTCAAACGGTGCGTGTGCTAGAGGAAAGCCGTGTTAACACGAGGGCTTGCTTCGCTCCCTGGAAAAGTTAGCCCCTTAGCACAGAATCTCCTGGCAAAGACTCCGAGTTCACTGCAAACTACACAATGAGGTCAGAACAGAACAAAAATAACTCTCAGTGGGAAAGGATGGCCCAAGGCCCCCACTCGAAGAAGGTAAGCCTGCTTCACCCACACATACACGTACACACGCTCACGGCAAGCTTTGGGATGAAAGGCAACAAGGATGGTTGACATCTGAAAGCCAAAGAACATGAAGGTCAGGTTTATTCCCTGCCAGGAATGAGCTCGTGGGAATGCAGCCCAGATGAGAAACACCTCTTAAATAGAGTTGTGCCAATTATTTATTCCCTCCAACCTCCCAAAAAAACTTTTTTTTTTTTAAATAAAAGGAAAAGAAACTGGAAAAAAAAAATTCTTCTAAACCTGAATGAAACGACCACTTTTTTTTTAAACAGGTAGTTTAAAATGGTTACAAAACGAGCAGGGAGTCCAGGTTTCCTGATTAACGAAGACGGAGGTCGTGGGTGTTCGCGGTCTCCGCATGACAAGCGGGGCTTTATAGTTCTGCATCACCCTGAAGCAAAACCGAATCTTGGTCGTCCAAGAGGAGATCCGTGTCCACGACCTCGGCCTCTTCCATGACGCCTCCCAACTGCTGGACAACGTCGCCATCGAGGATGTCCACATCCTTGATGGGTTTGATCAGGCTCAGCTGGTCCAGGGGCAGCAGCCCCGGGGCCCCCGCGGGCCCCGTAGTCCTCTCGATCGTGGCCGCCATTTCAGCAGCAAAAGCTGCTTTCTGAGCCTTTTGCCTCTGCTGTTCCTCCTGCTGCCTGTGCGTTTTCATGTGCGCATTTCGGCTTTTGATCTTGAAGAAGACTCTGAGAATGAAGAAAAAAGAAGCACTGTGAAATTCAGGAGATCTGAGTTCTTGGAAATCTGGGCGTCCTACAGGGACCAGGGGCCGTGTGGCCTAACGTCTGGTTTGGGTGGCTTTGACAGAGTCCCTGGTCACCTAGGACCTCCTGCCCCTGTGACCTGTCGCCTCTCCTCTCCTAGCATTACAAGGGAAAGGGGATGGGGACAGGAACACACGTATAGGGTGTCAGGCTTCCTCTCTGTGGCAATGGAGGATGGATTCTCAAAGGCCTTCCTGTCCCTCTGTGGTCTGCGGCTCATGCCCTTTTTCGTCCTTTAGCTTACCCCTCTCTCTCAGCACAACCCAAGAATCCCCCACTCATGCTGCCGAGCTCTGATGGTACCCGTAACAAAACCCATCACCTGCCTGTGGTTTCTGTCTTCCGCAGTCAAAATTCTTGAAGGCTCTGCCTGACCCTTCTCACTTTGGTATATCACACACTTGGTAAATTCCTCTCTTTTCCACCCTCTCCAACTGGATGCCTGTCCCCTCCCCTGCAGCCCAAACCCTCTTCTCAAGGTCACCAGTAACTCTGTGGCCAAATCCAATACCACCAGCCCCGTTCTGTCTTTACTATACTTGACTTCTGAGCTGCACCCACCACTTCTTTTCACCTAAGACCCCTTCTTATTGGCGATCGTATTACTATAATTTCCTACTTTTAGGTTTAGAATGAAAGAATGGTTTTCAGCTGCAGGTGATTTTGCCTCCCCAGAGACAACTGGCGAGATATTTTTGACCGTCACAACTTGAAGGGGGCGTGGTATTTTTCCAACCTAGTGGGGAAGAGCCCAGGGATGTGGCTACATACCCTATAATGCAGAGGGTGGCCCGTCTTCCCCAAACAAGGACTTATCAGACCCAAATGTCACTGCTGAGGTTGAGAAACTCTGGGATAAGGGGCCCGCGAACTATGGCCAGTGGACAAAATTCAGCCCACTCAATTTTCATAAATAAAGTTTTCCTGGAACACAGCTAAGTCTATTTGTTTATGTATTATCTATGGCCACAATGGCAGAGCTGAGTAGTTGGGACACAGACAGTATGGCCTGCAAAGCCTAAAATATTTCTATCTGAAGCTTTTTCCGAAACAGTTTGCCCAGATGTGAGACTGCCTGTTTCTAGAGATGGGGTGATACAAATATCTGGCATTCATTCCTGAGCCCATAAAGGGAAAACAAAACAAAATAAAACAAAAAAACAACTCTGATTCCTAAGACAAGCAGAGCTGATGAATCACAATTGCACATATTGAAACTGTTTAATGTGATGAACATGATTTCAGCCGCTAAAACAGGCATTCTGCAAACATTTGCCTATTATTTCTACTCCGGAAAACCACAGAAAATATCTTCATTTTAACTGGAGTTATGGTATTAAAAGGTCACAAGCAACATAAAAACAAGACAAGAAAAACACTTAATGGATGTCACTGAAAGACAGCCAGAAAGCTCGAAATGCTAATTTTTGTTTGTTAAAATGTTCTTTGTCTCCACCTGGTGGAGTAAGGAGTCGTGGCCTGCTTGTAGCCCTGTGAGTGGAGGTGTTGGCTCCTCTCTGGGGACAGGTGGGACGGTTCATTACTTCAAGTCACTGAGCCTCATGATCAATCTGGGGGCTCATTTTTCCGTGGTAAGACGAAGGGGATATCTTGTCCCGGCTCTGAAGGGTATCGGAACACAGAGGGGAGCTATCCCTAAAAAGCCATCTCCCCGATCTCTGTGCTTCATAGAGGGAAAATTGCTGCTAAGTTCCAGCTCCCTGCGGCGAGAGCCACCAAAAGGAGTTAGGTTCGCTCAGAGGCTGAGAGTGCCAGCCCCAGGTCAGCCTGCGTGGCTCGAATCCAAACTCGGATGGGCGCCGTGACAAAGACTTTACCCTTTCTGTGCCTCATTTTCTCTGCTTGGAAAAAAGAAGCTACTCAAAGTGCCTACCATATTTCGCTGAAGGTTAAGTTAATCAATACACGTAAATATCCTTTAAAACAGTGCCAGGCAAATTGGCCCTGATAAATGGCAGGTATTAGTAAGTTGCCTAAAATATCCTAATGAGGATGCATGTTATAAGCAGAGGAACCACTTGGCCTCATTCGCACAACTAGGGATGCTAAAGGAAGTCAGTCATGACAACCAAAGTCAGGCAGACTCACTGAGAAGCAGAGTGAAATTCCACACAGGAGGCTGGGGGAGGGAACCCTGTACCTCTTACCATCAGTGATATTTTCGACCTAAAATAAACAAACCAGTAGGATGGAGCAGTGGTCAGGAGCTGAGATGGGTTCAAATCTCAGCTCTGCTCTTATTGGGGATGTGACCTGGGGCAGGTGATTTTACCTAACATTCAATCTTTGTTTGTATCACAAGGATAAAAGCAGTATTGGCGTTTCTGTGCTCAGTAAATGTTGGCTATTATTACTACCCACTGTCAGTTTTTTTCTCTTAGTTGTTTTATATTATACTTAAAAGGGCAGGGATGACAGATAGGCTTCATCTCCTGGGTCACCCCGATCAACTGATTGTGCCTGCCTGAAGCATTCCGATGGCAAGGCTTTAAGATGATAGAGAGGAGTGTAGCAATCGGTTAGTGATGTCTGCCCCGGGCACAGGAATGAACCGTAGGGAAAGGAGAGTTCCTGTTAGGTGTTTGGAGCCATTGTCAAATCGCTCCGCAGGAATGCAAAGAGAGCGACGCGAGTGGATGTGGTTTGGGTGTGAAGGGATGAAGTGGGAATCCGAGTCCCATCCACCATTTCCTAAAAAGAGTCAAGTTTTGTCACTAGAGGTTTGCTCTGAAGATGTCTGTCCTTATTAGGGCTTTTAGGGTATCAGAATGACCATATTCTGAATCAGAGACGAGGTCCACCCACCCTGAGGCACCATGCAGACCCCAAGATGATAGGAGGGAGTTTTTGGAACCTCCGGGTTCTTTTACTCGCTCAAGAAACCTCAGACCATCTTGGCCTGGCCTCCATGGAGCAATTGTTCATCCTGGACTTAGATTCAGTCCCTGGTCCCTTGTCACCTACTTGCCACACTCCTTGCAGGGGAAGATAGTCGTGGGGTCTGTCTCGCCACTGGTGGTGCTGTGAGAGGGTGAGCTCTTCACTGAGCAGTATCCACTCTGAGCGCTGCCAGGCTTCTGCTTTCCAGAGGGGATGGCACCCCGAGCTTTGGTCACCTGGTTGGTGCCACCGTGGATACGGGCGTGGCCGTTCAGTGCCTGTCGGGAGCTGAACACCTGGGGAAGAAAGGGAGTGACATGACATCTACAGTCCTGAAAAGGAAATTAGGGTTATTAGTTACTCAGTGGTAAAACACATGATATTTGAAACAGTGTCTAATGACGGGGCGCAGGGGTTTTACGTAAGCAAACTTTGGGTGTATGCGCTAAAAGCCGAGGTCAGATACTACAACCACAAACACTGAGCCCATAAAAAAAAAAAAAAAAAAAAAAAAAAAAAAAAAAAAAAAAAACCCAACACACACACATTGTTGTTACAACCCGAGGACAAGATGCACAGTATGAAGGACAGAGAAACTGTCCAGGAGGCAGGGGACTGGGGGGCCAGACCCAGCACCTTTGAGAGGGAAGGCCATTGGGCCACTTCCCCTCTGTATGCCTTACTTTTTTCCCATCTGTAAGATGAGGGAGTTGACTGGCTTCCAGGTGTTTTTACCCTCTCCCTTTTCTTTTCTCCTTTTTTTTCCCCCCTTACTTAAAAAAAAAAAAAAAAATGACAAATCGGGTCTTGCTCAAAAGCTCTCAGTTAAAAGCAGAAATGCTCTGGCTGAAATAGAGACAGCACCCCGGAAGTAAGTGCATTTGCTCAGCTCTATCTCCCCACCCAGGAAGTCCTAGAGCCCCAAGAAACACAGTTGGAAAGACTGATTCGTTGACCTGATAAATCCCGTATATTACGTTCAAGCCTCCATCAGTGGCCAACTGTTGAAGCAATGTTGAAGACTCCCAAATTTTACTGCAGGATGACAGCTGAAGCTTGCCATAAAGTAGGCTCTCCCCACCTCAGCACTCCCGATACTTGGGGCTGGATACTTTTTGTTGGAGGGGGGCTGTGTGGAGTAGGATGTTTAACAGCATCCCTGGCCTCTACCCAGGAGAAGCCACCAGCACCTCTCCAGTTGTGACGTTAACTGTCCCCACACCATTGCCAAATGTTGAGGAGCAAAATCATTCCTAGCTGAGCACCACTGCTGACAAGGGATGCAATCCACCTCCTTGAGTTCTAAGAGCCCCGACTTCCAGCTTGTGAAACACATCAGTACCCACTGCTTTGCAGGTGGTTCGCTCTGTGTTAAGTTCATGAGCTCTGTTTATGGTCTGACAGGGAGAAAAAAAAAAAAAATCTATGGCTGATTTAGCAACCAAAACCTTCAGGGTTAGGCAAGGAATAAAACCAATATGCTTTTTCTCTGTGCGTTTTAAAAATCATTAAAATATATCCAGCTTGCTGAGCATTTTTGATTGGAAACAAGCGAAAGAGGACTCCCCACTCAGTGAAGAATTTGCCGTACACAAAACTATGAATTGAGGCAACAGTCAATTTCTAAACAAATTCACCCAGAAATACTGTCATTTAAAGTCACATCTTAATCATCCCTGCACGGAAGCGCTCTATACAAAATGGAAATAATGGAGTGACTCTTCCAGGTCATTAAACATCAAAGACAGAAACAAGCTAGCAATTTCTCATGTTTTCTTCAAAGCTGATGCAAAACGCAGATCCCTTTTTTTCTTACTTTTTCATTTTTTTTCATCAAATGTAAATCAAGTGGACTTCTGCGTTAGTATCTAAATATTATAAGGCCTATTGCCTTCTCCACCTACGTGACAGACTCATTAAGCAGCATTCAATACACTCTGGAAGACACCATTGTCCTGTATAATGCACAAGCAAAGATCAACCCAAGTAACTTGGGAAAAACAGGACTTCTTGTAAAGGAGCAACATTCTCGTCTTTTGTAACACCTCTAGAATTTGCCTGTACAGGTGTGCCGGGCTTTAAGAAATCCGATTCAGGAAAAGTTCAGCAATTTGGACTCGAGGGGGATCAACGAGGGACTGAAAGTCTAAAGTTAACAACTTAAAAAAAAATATGTCCTTTAAAATATACTGGGAGCCTTAGAACAGACCAGCACGGACTCTCTAAGGCCTGCCACAGGGCTAAGAATGATCAAATGAATTTGTTTTATTTTAGCTAAATGTTATTTCCCATGTACTTGAAAAGCACTAGGTTAAAAAATTATACAGACTCCCTTTCAGCCTGTTTCCATGATTAATTTGCTTAGTAAGATCTTTTTGTTCTCCCCAAAAAGTACCCAGGTAAACTTCAGCCAAATCTTTGTAATACTTCTCTCAAATTTCAAATCGATGACATTTGAATGAGTAACACTTTATGTGATAGGAAATGCGAAGCCTTCTCAGTGGGCTCCCCACTCGGGACATTTAAAATGCATGCTTACAGGGCCCGGAGGGGTGGAGAGGCACCAAGAAACATGGGGCATAAGTTCTGGAGGCCAAGGCTCACTGCGAAGCCATGTGCGGCAGCATTTAAGAGCTCTGGATCACACGCTTCCTGAGAGCAGGGATCTTCTCCGTGTCCCCGGAGCACACAGCATAGCAGTGTGTGTGAGCTGAGTAAGTAAATGAAAACAAAGCAAGAAAATCCTGGCGACACGGAATCCCCTCTGTGAAGCCTTCGTTGCGGAAAGTGCACCCTTTCTAAAATGCGTGGTCCTTAAAGCCAGGCACAGCCCACTGCCCTCTTAGTCGCAGGTTCCCCGGGGAGGACAGAGGATGCAGAGATACTTACGGCCCCGCAGTTGGGCATCTCACAGATGAAGGAGCCGGAGGGCTGGCCGAGGGCCTGCAGGGGTGGCCCCTCCGCGGGAGCCAGCACGGGGCCTGGGGGGGGCTCGGGAGACTTGGGCACTTCACTCTCCTCTTCTCTCGTGGATTTCCTATCTTCTTCTGGGTCCTCCTCCTCTTCCTCTAACTCCTCTTCTTCTTCACTCGTCTGGTGTTAAGGCAATAAAAGCAAAAGGGGGGACGGCCCCAAATAGCATTTTTAGTGATGAACAGAGTCACCAGCCAGGAGAGGAGAAAGGTGCTGGACGTGAGGTGGGGGTGGGGGGTGGGGTGGGGGTTCTGTCTAAGGAACGGCCCACGGAGTCCTCTGGGGAGTGCTATGGTGGTCTCTACCAGAGCTTGGGGCTCTGAGGTCGAGAGAGTCCCCCTGCCTCACTTTGGATCCCTTCACCACTTCTACAAAATATGCTAAAGCAGGGAGGAGAGATTTCTGTGTGTAGACTTTCTCCCCCTTGTTCAAGACCAGCAGACCTTGAAAAGGATTAAAACTCGCTTGCGAGCCACTCTGTCTCCCCGGAGCAGTGAGCAGGGTTTTCAAGCAGTAATGATACTATGGAAACCCCTCTGGAGAGGGACTAAAGACCTACGTAATGATTTGTCTACAGGCCTTATGACACGCTTCCACACGAGATGCCCCAGATGTCTGCTCTGACCCGTGGCCTGTGGAAAGCATGTGACCCACAGTGCTCCGATGCACCCCTGTTTGCTCTTGTCAGAAAACAGAATGGAAGAGTGAAGTGCAATGACTTTGAGGAGAGAAAGGGGAAAGGGATATCCCCCCTGGACCCCTCCCTTATTTATTTATTTTTTGGTCTGTCATCACATGCTTGGAGAAATGCCTTCCGCAGGCATTCTATGAAAAAGACCAAGAAAAGTATTTTCTGTGACTAAATATCCTTGTGGCTACTGTGTCCCCTCCCCCTCCTTCAGAACAGCAGCAGGTGGAGAACAAAGAAGGTCCCGCCTTCCCAAGGGTTACCAAGACAGGAAGTCACTGGAGCAGCCTGGTGTCGTACTATGGGTGGATTGGGACGGAAGGCAGGGACGGAGGAGGCCCTCATTCTACTTCTTGTTTAACCACCTTACTCTGGTCTCTCTGTTCTCATGGAAAGATGTTGGCTCCTCTAGGCTGAGAGAGGACCGAGGACCAGGGAAAGGGCTAGAACCCAGTTCTAGGTTACATCCACCTCATTTCAGCTTCTATTTCACAGCCCTTCACAGTTTACAAAGCATTTTTGTATTTGCTGGATCACTGAATGACATGGAAGCACCCTCATTTACAGACGAGGTAACAAATGGCATGTCCTGCTTGCCCTTGACCCTGGCAGGTCATTTGTGTCTGCCAGGCTCTGTTTAAAGCACGACACAGGCTCCAGTTTGGTTGATCCCAGACAGTGATGTAACTATGGGTCAGCCTATGATTGTCAAAGCCCAGAGGGAGAATTTCTGAAAAGAATGAAGATTTCTTTCTTAAAAAAAAATAATAATAATAACGTTTATTTATTTTTAAGAGGGGGGAGGGGCAGAGACAGGGGGAGACAGAATCTGAAGCAGGATCCGGGCTCTGAGCTGTTGGCACAGAGCCTGATGCAGGGCTCGAACTCACAAACCGTGAGATCATGACCTGAACTGAGGTCGGACGCTTAACCGACTGAGCCACCAAGGTGCCTTAAGGGTGAAGATTTCTAAGAGTATAGTGGGATCCTGGGATCCAGAGACAATAAGCTGTCTCTCTCCAGGTTGGATTGGGGGCAGGGGAGAAAGTCAATGCCAGTAAATAGGGGGCATTTAACACTCTATCATGGTTTCATTGTTGTCTGCATTTGATAGCATATACATGCATATTTGAGATGATGTGGCAACAAGGTGTACCTGAAAAATGGCTTCAGTTTCCAGTGGGTTAATTACGATTAAGTAGTGATGATTACATGTGCTGAAAGACTTCAATGAGTACAAACGTAGGCCCACTTTATTTTACAGAGTGATTCATCATATATAAGCTGTAGGTCTCTTATTCGCATAGAACACACAGGTGGATTTTCCTTAAATGGTCTCATTCCCATATGAATCCATCATCTTTCAACCTCAAGGAGTTTCAGGTCAAACCACAGTATGTAGAACTCTAATGGTTCCCTCCCTTCCTTTACAGAAATGGAACTTTGTGGACTCAAGAATCAGTTTAATAAGCAGGTCAGGGCCTACAGCGTGGCACTTAAACTAGATTATCCAATAACTTTCAATGGCAATGGCATTTGTTTTACAGTACCATTTATAATTACAATTTTTCTCACAACACCATTTTTGGGGGGCTTAAAAACTCATAGAAGAGACATGCCATAGAGCCACAAAATCACAGATTAAATTATACTGCACTGTGATTACACGTGTCTCCGGAATTTAGATAGGTTTTACTTCAACTGGCAATCTATACACGTTCACAAGATGATGTATCATCAAGCCATATGGGCTTACCAAAGTGACTAAGAGATACAAAGATAGGAGGACAAAAATCCTAAGATGTACAACTTTGTATCAACAAGTTGGCCATTTCATGATGTATTGTGAAATGAAACATTGAGTAATATTCCAAAATTGGTAGAAGGTGGGCAAATACGGGATGAGGAGGTGGTTATATATTTAACATGGTGCTTAAAGCCTTAAGTGTCTGCAATAAGGGTTTCTTGAGGAGGACGATACTCTTATTTCTCAGGCATGCAAATGGAATTTGCATTGTGAGACACTTGTTAAGTTAAAATACAAACTCTCAACAGCCCAAATGTACTCAGAGACACAAAACTGAGTGTCACCATCACTAATGATGAGGAGGAGGATGACGGGGATGAAAGCATGTTGAATGCCTGCTATGAATCAGGTACCACATGCACGCACACACACGTGGACACATACACACACACACACACACACACACACATAATTTCTAGTGCTCCGATAGCCCTGTACAAATTTTTCTTTTTTAAGCAAATGACGAAACTGGCCAGAGAGCTACTTTCCCCAAGGTCACACGGCTGGTAAAGAAGTTGAATTGAGATTTGAAACTTAAACTGTCTGATTTCAACACCTCAGCCTTCTTCATCTATTGGCCCCGCAGCAGATGTCCACAGGAGAATGTGTGTCCATCTGCACATAGTTTCGATTTTCAGCCCAAAGACAGGAGATCCTAAACCCCTCACAACCATTGGAAACAGCTGCCGGTCAATGTCAGAGAGCAGCAGGCTATTCCCGCCACCACCCCCCACCCTGCCACCGCCCCATTGGTGGACCGTGTTAGAGTAACTTAGGTGCTTAGACCGTGGGTGAGCTTTGCCCTCGGAGTCCTGACTGCTGTCTTCCAATGTCAGTCACTTTTGTCACTTGGTTTCTTGAATTGTGCTAAATTTTGGGCAAAACCAGATCCACAGATCTGTCCTGAGTGGGAGCATGAGCATGGGCAGGGGACAGGAAGATGTGATCAGCACGCTTTCTTCCCATATCCTTAACGGAGTCCACCTTGGTCCCCTTCTTTTGCCTCCAAGGTGGAAGGACCTATGATGACCTCAGGGTAGAAGTCTCCAAAGCGGAGGAGGCTATTGTGTTGTGTTAGCCTTGTGGCTACCTAAAGAACAGCCATTCCTCACCAACTGTCTTCTTCCCGTCTCCCCACACAAGTCCCTGAACGACCTGAGCGTGTTCCATCATGTTCCATCTGGGATGAAAACACTGAGGACCTATGATCGGGAGAGTTGTCCCAAGTGTCCAGGCAGGCCCGAGGACAAAGGGCAGGACTCCTGTCCTAGGACTGTGCCTTCTGCACCCTCCCCATTTCTTGCATGGTCCCAGGTTTTCATCTCTCCTCTACAAACTTCCCTCAAGAGGCTGGCTGTGCCTTCACAGAGCCCAAAAGGGAGTTACTGAGCTACATGCTGGCCTTAAATCAAGACTTTTTTTTTTTTTTTTTTTTTTTTTTTTTTTTTTGTGGGCCTGAGTCATCTCTGCATGTTGCTTTTGGTTCTCCTTAAGGTAACAAGGGTGGGGATGCTCCTGACCCAGCTTAAATACTGGCTCCTGGTGAGTAAGCCCAAGAAGGTGTGGTTCCTTGGGCATCATCTTAACCTCTCCTCTTTAGTCTGAGGCTACATGCGGGTCTGGGCCTTTCTTACCTTTTTTAAGATTTTATTTTTAAGTAATCTCTACACCCAATGTGGGGCTTGAACTCACAACCCCAAGACCAAGAGTCGCACACTCCACAGACTGTGCCAGCCATGCGTCCCAGCCTAGGTCTTTCTATGCATCTCCAAAGCCCTGCTGGCCCAAGATAGCACCTCTTCCTTGCGCAGTAACATCTTCCTTAGCAGCAATCCCTGCTCTGAATCCCCTTGTGCACTTCATCTCCCTGCAGTGAGTTCATAGAGGGATTGTTGCTGTGACCCACAGTGACTCCTATCTGGGAGTGATGTTCACTCAATTAATTCAACAAATATTTAGAAGGCCTATATTATGCCAGCCACTGTCCTAGGCACTTGGTAACACACAAGCTGGAAAGGCATCAGTTTGCCTCAGGAAGCCATATCCTCAGATTTTGCCCTTTTCCAAAACATGACTCTGACAGAGCCCAGAACATTTCAGAACTGGAAGGGATTTTCCAAATCATCTAAACCATCTGCCCCATTTTATAGGTCAGTAAGCTTTAGGAGACAAGTCCTAGGTCTCCAAGGCCAGGATTCCTCATGCTTCCTTGTTTACTGTCCATCTACTCATCTGGAAAGCAATGCTCTGTGTAACCTTGGGAAGCCCTTCCCCTCTATGGGCCTCAACCTCCTGCCTGTGAAATGATGGAGCTGGATGAGGGAGAGGCCCTAAGGCCCTATCCAAGCCTTTCTTGGTTCTCGTCTTACACTGCTTGTAAACACTCTTGGGGTTCATGCTAAAGCTTCCACTTGTGTGTGCCACATCTTCCCAACTTTAGTATATGCTCCTGGTTGGGGGGGGGGGGACAGAGGCCAGCGAACATCCCTGATCGCCCACAGCACTACACGCATATTGATATTTACATCACGGCAACTCGACTGCTTTTAGCTGACTAAACCAGGAGAGGCCACGTTGTTTCTTTTAAACATCAGGCACGGGTGAGAACAATGCTATTCAGATACGAGACAGCGCTACTTAAACGACTCACACGAAAGCCCGGGTCACAGGAGACCCCAAACACACAGTACCATCGTCATCTCTGACACAGATGTCGATTTTTTTCCTGACCTGTGGGTCTAAATGTAAATTCAAACATGTGCATGTATTTCACAGCTAGAATCATTCTTAGGTCTCCCAGGCCAGGTAGGAACTTGGGCCCTGAGGCATTAATGAGTCCAAGTGTTTTTATACTTCTCTAAGAGGATTTGCATTTGAATGCTCTTAAATCCTAGACAGGGAATCAGGCTCAGACCACACACTCTCCATTTGACCGTGGCTCAGTTACTTAGGCTCTGTGCCTCAGTTCCCTACCTCACAGATTGGCTCTGAGGATTAAATGAGTCAATATCGGTAAAGGGCCTAGCACGATGCCCGGAACACAGAAAGTGCCATGTACGTGTCAGTTAAAGAAAACCACCCACACAGGTGCTAACAAAACCGTGGCACAATCGGGAATGAAAGTATATTACAGACATCCATCACATTCATGAATTCTAAACACTTTCCCGAGTGGTGACAGCCTAGAGTTTACTAATCTGTTGTAAGACGTGCCATTTTTACATACACATGCACGGCAGGTAACGTTTTCCACCATGTGTGGAAAGGAGACTTTCCCTGGCTATAGACCCAGGGAAAAAAAGAGTTAACCACAAGGACAAAGTGATAGTGATTACTGAAGCCGCACACTAGGGATTTGGAGATTTCGATGTCTTTAGCTTTAGCGTGTCGCATCTTTAGTGTATACGTGACACGCAGACAACTTTGGATCATCGGCCAATGAAGGAAATCATTCTCGGGGATAAATGGTGATCAAGGATTAGACTAATACACACGCTGCTACCTGTTCCTCGATAACTGAGAGTTCCTGGAACTATCTAGAGGCCAAGGCTCCTCCATGGTCACGCTTAATGGAAGCTGTGGTAACACCCGAGGGCTCCGGGTCTCTGGTCAGCAGCATCTGTGACACGGACGGATCAGAAAGGATATCCCAGGGGGCCGAGGGCGCCCACTTATAAGCCATCGAGTCAAGGCTGGGACCACTCTGGCTTCCCTCCCTGCCTGCCCTGGAACCCAGGCCAGCCCTTACCTCCTTAACGGAGTGCTGAGCTATGGGGCCAACCCGCAGCCACCTTCCTTCTGCATTTCTATGCCAGGAAGTTGAAGCCTGTCACCCGCTCACCGTGGTCACCTTGGCAGCCAAGCCGAGCCAAACACCCGCCACTTACAAACCTGGGTGAAGGGTGGGGGCAGGGCGCACGGAAGCGGCTTCACTCACCACAGAATCATCGATTTCTGCGAGGCGTGTCCGGTGTTTCCGCCCCAAGCGCATTATCTTTTTCCACGTGTAGTAGTATTCCACACACTGAGCCACCGTCTTAGACTTCACCTGCCGGGAAAGCCAGCTCCACATCAGCTCAGCAGTGGGCAGTGTGCCAAACCGCAAGCTTTTGTGAAAATTTAATTTTGTAATAGGGAATCGGTGTGTGCGATTCAATTAAAAAAAAAAAAGTATACAGTGAAAAACCTCCTTCCCACGCGGTTTGTTCTCCCTCCATCTGGGTCTCACCCTCCCCACCCCTGTCACACAGCTAAACCCTCTTCTTAATTTCTTGGGTGTCATTCCAGAATCTCTTCACGCACATACTAAAGAACACGAGAATATATTTCTCCTCACACTGCATACGTTGTTTTGCAACTTGATTTTTTTTTTTTCTTCACAATATAGCCTGGAGATTTTTTTCATGTCAGCCCATAGAGAGCTCATTCCTTTTTTTTAACCCATAGAGCAGCATGCTTTTTCATTTAATGTGCTTGAGCGTATTTGGCTCTCCGACTGGTTGACCTTCAAAATCTATTTATGAAAAATGTTCCTTAGTAATCGAACAGGAATGTAAGGCAAAAGTTAGGATGACAAGAGCTTAGTTTCTGCAGGAAACAAGCCTTGCCCTGTCCTCCCTCAAGGGGGCAAAGGTACATGTATTTTAAAGAGAAAAAAAATGCCTTTGTGTAGTTCATAGATCTCCAAGCTCAAGGTGGGGTTCAATAATGTGGGCTTCTGGAGGCAGATAAAAGGCTGGCCATACTTGTGGAGGTGGGAGACCAGCCACCCAAACTGTGAGATGAGAGAGGTCCTGCCAGAAGTTGTCTCCTTCTGAAAGTGCCCCTCTTTCCACCACTTGATTTCTTGAGTTTCTACACTAGTCGCTCAGGGAGTGAGTACCCTGTCTCAGAGGGTACTCGATGGAAAGGCTGTGTTGCCTGGCAAGCACGACACACCAATCAACAAGGTGCAGGCCTGCAAGGGGTGAGGCCCAGGGCAGGTCAGTCCTGGGGTATGGGGACTCAAGAAAGAGGACAGCACGAGAGCACGGAGGCTACTGAGCTTACAGGGCAGCAAAGAGTATGGTGGCCTCCAAGGTAGGGAAAGGCAGGGGTGAATACAGATCTGGAGAGGGCGGGCAAGCAGAGAAAAGTCTACCTGTCCCACCAAGGAAAGTCCTAGATTAAGGACAGGAGACATGCACCTGGTGGGTAGCATCGGGCCAGCCCTGAGCCAGTGGGAGGTGTTGCCCGCGACTCCGTTCTCAGTGGACCTGAACATTTTAATGACCTTAATGACACAATATGGCTCCATTGTTCATTGATTTTCTGAAACACTGAATCATTTTCACTTTTAGCCTCAACCACCTCTCAGCCAATTAAGGCCTGTTACGTTCATTATCTGCTGAAAAGTGCTACTTCATCTGTGTACAAGAGTTCTATTTTGCTGTGAGATGCTGTATATACAAAGTATTATTATTTTTATTATGACTGTCGTTATGATTAGGGGCCCAACTCCAGAAACTCTGCTACTGGCTAGGGGGAAGGCACGTTATCTTCCCTTCTCTAATGTCTCAGAAAAAGAATTGTCAAGAACATGATAAATCTGTCAAATATACACGAAATAAATCATGTACATTGTAAACCAACAGCCTCAGTTCTATTTATTCTGATAGAGTGTATAAATTACACATTTTTATTAAGATAAAAATAACTCCCCACCATGTCCAAATAATCTAGGTCCTCCTTCTCCCCCACAGCCCTGACACTGGGCGATGCCACCCCTGTAACAAATACCATCCTTCACTAGAGATGAGTGGAAGACATTCTTTTCCTGAGAGTTAAACCAATAACCAAGTATTTCTGTGTGTCTTTAAGGTGTATAATTTCCCCAATTCAATTTCAAGTGAGCGAAGGGAAAAGGCATACTTACCATCTTCTGTACAAAAATAAAGTCTTTGCTGTAAGTGGCTAGTGCTTTGTTAAACAGTTTTCTTTCTAGGGAGGTCCACTTGTCTGAGCCTACAACAAAACAAATGTAAGAACAGAGCACAGTTCTCCTTGTCGGTGCTGGCTTACTTCGTTAAGTTCCAAAAACACAACTGGTTAGCAAGTGATATTAATACATATGCAACTCCCAACTCCCGTTTGAACAAAAAAAATCAACGTAGTGTAACGGTTAGCAACCCTGACACCTGGGTTCAAATCCCAGCTAGGGCCTTGGCCTTGCCAAGTTACTGAACCCAAGGCTCAGTTTTGTTACCTACAAATGGGAACAATTCTAATTGCCCTCGGCTTTTGCGATCTTTGGGAAGGTTAAAGAAGATAATCCACAAGAAGGCTTAGCTTAGTAACTGGAAAACAGTGAGTGCTCAACACGTGGTGGCTACAGTTTCTATGCAATTATGATGTTCACGGGTGCAAGCATTCATGCAGCATGTGCTCCTTGAAATGTGGCAGTTTTGGCCATCTCCACCCTCAAGATGCTCACCATCTAGTGGGGAGACAAACCGGGAGGCCACGGTGTTCAAAGTGATGGCTGAGATTCTGAGGTAGAGGTCATGTACCAACGGGGCACAAAGAAGGAGCAGCATCACGCTCGGGTGAGGGCCAGGCTTCCAGGCAGAGAAAACACCTGAGCTGAGTTTTAAAGGACCCCAAGAAGCAATTCAGGCAAGGAGGAGATGGAAGGGAATTCTGGGGAGGAAAAGGGGCTGAGGCAAAAGTGAGAGGCAAGAGTAAGATGTTGCATCCATTCATTCATTCAACAGGTATTTTTAGGTGTCTACTACATGCAAGACGCTGAGCTAGGAAAAAAAAAAAAAAACAAAGCACAAAAACCCTAGCATCTCTAAGTGCTTACTGTGTGCCAGGTTCTAAGCACTTCACAGACATTAGTTATTTGGCTCCATCAATAACCCTGCAAGATCACTGTTACCCATTTTACAGATAAGGAAACGGGGGTGCTCAGAGAATGAGCAGTAATCCAGTAGGGTTCAACTACAGGCTTCTGACAAAGAGAAAGCAGATGCGGCTGGAGAGGTGAGCGGGACCAGCCCCTGAGAGAGCTGCAGACCGATGAGGAAGAGGCCCCCGCAGTGCTGAGCTGATGCATCTGCCTTGGGGGCTGAACTTGATTTTCACAATCTTTTTCCCTCCATAAATGAGAAAGCAGGATGTGCAGATGATCACGCCGAGTGGTACTGGCTTGTGTTGCATAAGAAATGAGGCTTATTCCTAAGATAAGTCCTATTTCTGGGGGCTCCAGGGAAGGCTCGTCCCTGTGGCTGTTTTGCAGAAAACTTGGCTTCATTTTTCTGGTTTTTTGAATTTGCCACATCTCTGATTCTTTGGATGGTGCATGGCTGGGCCTTTGACTTTGACATTCCTCCACTTCTCAGAGCTATAATCCCCCAAACTGCAGTACTTTCCCTCCTAACCAGAATAAGCCCAGGATTTCCATTTTGCTATGGTTGACTGATGAAGCTGAAATTGCAGGAAATCTGAATTGTTCCTTCCCTTGGAAGGTTCAGCCAAAATTAGTGAATCAGGTTCCTGGAGAGAATGTGTGAGTCAGTGACAGAAACTCAGATTTCTGAAATAAACACCTTCCCTGTGTGACTTGGTGATAGGTCCTCAAGCCAAGAGCCTCTGGCTCCAGACTCAGAATATGCTCTGCAGGGTTGGGCTGGCTCAGACATCTAAAGCACAGGGCCACCACTGCCTGATTTCTTTGGTTTGTAAAGTTATCTTTACTTCCGGAAGGAAAGCAGCTTTTTGATTAATCCCCAGCAGAAAGAAGCATCTTCCACAAGTTCTGGAGGCTGGGACATATCCGGTTGTGCAACTGTCACAACAGGAAGGAGAAGAGAGTTTGAGTGTTGGAGAAGTTTTGCTGGAGTGGACATGAACAGAGGAGGTTAGTGGGATTTGGGGTTCTGGAATGGTTCCATCAGTGTTCCTCAAATTCAGTCTAATATTCAAGGCCATGGGGTCCCAGCTCCCATACGCTCCCCTTGCTCAGGAGCAAAGGTAGAAAGAGACAGAAAGGATTAACCAACAGTTTAGCTGAATGGCCAAAGAGCAGTCAAGGTTCTTTTTAGATATCCATCAAAATAGCCAAGAGGTAATAGGAATCAGAAACACAATGATGGAGGGGGTGCCTGAGTAGCTTGGTCGGTTAAGTGTCCGACTTCAGCTCAGGTCACGATCTCACAGTTCGTGAGTTTGAGCCCCATATCGGGCTCTCTGCTGTCAGCACGGAGCCCACTTAGGGTCCTCTTTCCCCACCCTTCTCTCTGCTCCTCCCTTGCTGGTTTTCTCTCTCTCTCTCTCTCTCTCTCAAAATCAATAAACTTAAAAGATATATAATGGTGGAAGAGGATCATGATGGGGACATGTCACAGCAGCTGTCCCTGGATAAGCTACCCTACTGCAGGTCCAGAGCCCGTGCAGGTCCAGAGCCCGTGCAGCTCTCGGTTGCAGCTCAGATGGGGAATCACCCAACTAGATCAAGAAGAATCCTTTCTGCTCTCAGCCAGACTATACATCTCTTAGAGTTAGAGTGCCTCTAAGACCTGGTGGGATACTAACAGGGCCACGCAGCCTTCTCAGGCCAGCACCCAGTCTCTATGGTGGACACACTTCCTTCCACACCACACCACACCACACCACGAGTGGAGTCATCATGTGATTACTGCCCAAGCAGCAGTGTTACATGACCAGGTCTACTTTTAATGTTCTGTTCATTTTTAAGAGAGAGAGAGAGAGAGAGAAGGGGAGGGGCAGAGAGGGGGACACAGAATCTGAAGCAGGCTCTAGGCTCTGAGCTGCCAGCACAGAGCCCGATGCAGGGCTTGAACCCATGAACCGTGAGATCATGACCTGAGCCGACGTTGGACACTTAACAGACTAAGCCACCCAGGTGCCCTGCCCAGATCTACTTTTAGGAAGCAAATCTCCCTGCATGCCCCCAAATGGCTCGCCAGCTGCAACTCCACAGAACATGAAGTTGCTTCCTGGCCCATCTGTTATGGGGGACCCCAAGCCTCATGGAGGAAGGGAATTAGTCTTGCTGACTCCTCGGTGGTTTTTAGGGCTGCTGCTCTGTGATGGGCTCTTCGGTCTCCCCCACCCAAGCGCTCGTTCTATTCCACCAGCCCTGGCTTGGAAGCGGGCTGCACTTTCCCACTCTGAGGGCCGCAGGGGCCAGGCAGAAAGAGACGGCTCCTCTAAGTAGTCCTCGGGGCTGCGCTTGAGTGCGCAACATAGCGCTGTGTACGGGTGTCTGTCCAGCAAGGGCGTCTGTGAAGTGAGAGGCAGAGGCAGGGCCAGACAAGCAAGTCCATTCTCACACTCACACGAGAGCGGGCTCCGTCTTCATGACCTCCTGATCACGAGACTGCCCATGGAGCCGGGAATCCACCCTTGCCAAAGCCTGGGAACACCGGAGTATGCTTTTCTCAGATAAGGTCACTGTGGTGTGATAAAAAGGGGTGGCTTTAGTCAGGGGACCACAGGTTGCAAATCTGGTTCTGCCACTCACGGTTCCTGCAGCCACAGGCAAACGTACTCAACTTCTCTGGGTCTCGGTTTCCTCTTATGTGACTGGGGCTGCAGCGTCCAGTCCTAAATAGGTGCAGAATGAATGCCACCGGCCACTTGGAGAGGAGATTCCAAGTCAGCTCACGGCTACGGGACACGCACTGTCCCCTGCTGGCATGCATTAGTGGCACTGGTGAAGACTGTGGGTCCTTGCTGGTATTCTTTGTTCTGTGGACGTGTAATCCCACAGCCTTACTCGGCTGCCAGGCACTCCCGGTCCCTGAATTCCTTCTGTAATCCTGTCAAGGAAAGGCTCAGGCGTCTCATTCCTGGAGTCTCTGACGGGAGCACTTTTCTTATTTGTAGACAAGGTTCTAAGCCAGCCTTCGCTGGATACCGTGTCTTGGGCAAAGCCCAGGATAAAATGCGAAACGGAGGCAGGGAGCTGCCTCTAAGCCTCCCCTTGCTCTGCCCTTTCTTCCTCTTCAGGATCCCTGCTGTCCAGTCAGCATGCACACAGGGTCAGTGGGTTGACATTCCCCCAGCACATTTGTACTACCTGGGGATTCCTGGCTATCGGGCTGTTATCAGCAGGGGTCCCTAACAAGCCGATTAAGGCTAATTACAAGGGGTCTAATTAACTGAGGAAACTGGTGCTGAACAGTATCCAGAGGAAAAATATTCTGAACTCCAGTTGCTGGGAAACAGGCTCTGGACTGTGGCTAAATTTGGGGCGATCTATAGCGAACCCGGGCAATTAAAAGGAGAACTGGAGGGGTGAGAGCATCGGGCACAGAATCTTCTAAAGAGGGCCCTTCTGTCATCCTCCCGAGACTTAAAAAACTTTTGTGATGGTGCTCTTATTGTACATACACAAGGAAGACGTGTTCACTGCAGGAAAAGGATTGTTTTTAAATCAGATCTTCGGGTCGAGCGTCCAACTCTTGGTTGCAGCTCAGGTCATGATCTCACGGTTCCTGGGATCGAGCCCCACGTCCAGCTCTGTGCTGAGAGCGTGGGGCCTGCTTGGGATTCTCTCACTCTCTGTCCCCCGCCTCAAAATAAATAAATAAATAAAAACTTAAAACAATTTTAAAAATTAAATCAAATCAGATCTTCATTTCTGTGAAAGGTTTTCTGCGGTGGGTAAAAGGATGAATGATTTTTCGGGGGTGGAGGGTGTAGTTGGCTGACCCCAAAGAGCCCCCCGGAGGCAGAAGGAAGGGAGGCCTCCATCCGAATCCAGACCTCAAGCTTGTCCACTGCCTCTTTCTTTGTAAGAGTTGTGTCAGGCAAAGCCGGCAAGTAGTATCAGGTTCTGTCCTTGAGGTGACCACTCTCCAGCCAGAGACATGAGCTAAGAATGCCTGGAAAATGACATTACAGCTGTGTTTCTTGCAAAGTGTTCTCTTGAGTACGTAATTCTGTCTTCTCGTCAAACTGGGCAGCTTCCAAGACTGCAAACAGGCCTTCCCCGACTGAGCGGGTGTTTCCTCAAGGCATCCTGCAAGTCTGGAGTCGGGAGTTGGGTCGGTGTTTGGGGCCCACCTGGGCTGTGTGGGAGCCAGACAGTGGCCTCTTTTGCACTCTTACCAGGAAGCCTAAGGCCAGTGTCCACACCCATCTGCAAGAATGACCAGTTCGATGGAAAAACCAAGGATGCACCAAGCCCCTTAATCACAACCAGGCGTCTTCCTCACCCTGATTCCCCGATGCTCAAGCCGTCCCCACCCAATCCAACTGCTGACAGGGAGAGCCTCTGCAAACTGCTACCCACACATGGGTGGAGGGTGCTGAGAGAGGGCTGGGCCCGGTGCTCGGGTGTGGATTAGTGTGCGGGAGCCCCCGCAACAGCACCTTCCTCCACGGATCTTGTACAGGGCTCTCCTGGCCTCGGCAAGCAGTCTCCCGATTCGGGTGAGCTGCCCACCCACACTGGAGTCTCTCCTGGGCCCCAGCACTGGTCACTTTTTCCTTTTCTTACTGAATGGCTTGAGATGGGATGGGAGAAGTCAGGAGTGAAGTAAGGGAAGTGATTTTCACAGGCCTGGGTCTCTGTCTCTCCCAAACTTGTAGCCTCTGTCCCCAGGCTCAGTCGTTCTGCCTTGCCTCCAGGGCGGGGAGTTGGGATGGGGTGACACTGGCCATAGCTATGGAGCCGAAGTGAAAGGCGATCCAGAAGACAGTATCTGGGTGATGCTGACTTGACCTGACAGAGTCCTACTAGAGAGCAACCCTACAGGGCTTGGTACAAAGGTCAAGGCAGGACGGGGCCATGGGGATGGGATTCACTCACACCCTGGAACCAAATCGAAGGAAGGAGGTAGTGGCTGGTAACTAGGGGTATCCTCTGGGGCCTCTGGAAGGAGGCCTTCCTCTGGAAGGAAACTATTAAGGGATGGAGTCAGGCCAGACTTTAGAGACCGGTGACCTCTGACCTTTTGGCTCATAAGTTCTACAAGATTCTCTGGGTCTCAGTCTGCGATCACTTCCTGGAGAAGGCAGATGTCTGGCAGATACAGGTGAGTTCCTTTTTCTTGAGGACACACAGCTAGTGGAATACCAACCCTTCATACCTCAGCTCCACCTCTGTTGCCCCTAGTTGTCAAAAGATTCCAGGAGGCAACAGAGGGTTTCCTGGTCTGCCTGTGGGGGAAGGAGGCCGTGGATGGGGAACACGTTAGCTAGGGACCCCAAAAGATCAGTAATCTTAGCAGAGCTGAGGGGCTTCCAGTTTCAAAATTCTTACTATTATCTTAGTGTTTTTGTTTTGTTTTGTTCACGGGTTGGGGGTGGCCTCTAGTCCGTAGCTTTCCAAATTTTATTATGTCATGACACACATAAAACAATGTAATGCTTGCTTAGTACGCTGGGGAGAACTGGAGGGGATTTGGGTCTCAGATGAGGTTGCTCACAGCTGGAGCTGCCCCAGCCCAGAGGTGACGGCCATCCCGGTCACCCTGAGGGCTGAGGGCAGTCGCAGCAGATGGTTGGGAAGCTCCCTGTCATCAACCATCTCGCCCACTATATAAAGAAGCTTGAGACAGGCTCCAGGAGGCTGGAGAGCCTGTCAGGGTTTAATGGGCAGCAGATGACGCTGGGAATTAAGAGGATTGAATTGTTTCCATGGCAGATTAGAGACAACTCCCACATCTTCCTACCCACACTTGGGGCAGACACCAGGCAGGAAATGATGGAGACAATATTAAGAAACTGGCTCATTTAGGCCCCAATTAAATGATGGATTTCTTATCCGTGTGTCCATTTTGTGCTTGTCTAGTTCCAGTAGCGGCCTGTGTGCTGACAGTGATCCACAGGCGGACATCCAGGGCTGTCTGTGCTCAGGTGGGTGGCTTCTGAGGCCACTCCCCGCTTCGATGACAGGCAGGAAGGCCGGCTCACGGGAGAAGCACATTGAGTGAGGCAAAAGGTGGTGGGCATAGGTGGCTGGGGGGCAGGGGCAGGCCCATCAAGAATGTGCTGGTATGTAAAGCAGCCCTCACCTTAGGCCACATCTGGCCACTGGGACCAAGGACTAGAAAAGGTATGACTAGGTCCCCAAGCCCACTTAAGGACTTAGCACCTAACTATGCAGGGTCTGGCCAAAGCTCTAAAGGAACCTTCAAATGATTATCAAGGGAGTATTAGAGGATTCAGCCCCCTCTGAAATAGAGAACCCAGGCAGGTTCGTGGAGACCCCCGGAATGGATGGGTCTACCAGATACCGGAAATTAAGATGTGGACTTCAACTTCGTTTTGTCACCGCAGGCCCCCCAGCCATCTGTTGCCTTCTCTCCTCACGATTCTCACTACACTCAACTCTCAAACGTGTTTTCTCCTTCCCCTGTTATTGGTGATGCCATCATTAACCCATACCCTCAGAGGACACACTCCGTATATGTGCCTGTAATGTGCGTATTACCTGTACCTGCATACACACGTGCATATGCACGCACGTGTGTGCACATGTACCGTATATGCATATTTATAGTAGCTTTCTCCTGCCACGAGTGTGATCTGTTATTGAACGACTGCTTCCTCCTCAGACCCCCAAACTACATGAGGCAGGACTCTGTCTATATCTGTCATAGTCACTGTTTCATCTTAGCACTTAGCACAGTTTCTCGTACACAGCAAACAATAATTAATAGATGACTAACAAGAGCTACTAGAACGTGCCATGCATTGCGCTACACCTACTATCTCTAACTGTCACAAAAAATGCTACAAGGGACGCAGTAGGAGCCCCATTTCATGGGCGAGGAAGCCAAGGTTCCAGAAGGCAAGATGTGAACCCACGTCTACAGATTCCAAAGCTGAGGGGCTGCTGAGTGTGGTTGTCTCCGTGCTGTCCCCTCTGTGGTTCCTTTCCCCAGTACACCAGTCTCACCGCCCACGTGCAGGCACTGACCACTATCACCCAGCCCTTGGCACAACCACGCGGGGCCAAGCCTAGACAAACAGCCAACAGACACAGCTGTCCCGCCAGCAGCGTCCCAGGGGGCCTTGAGCTCACGAGTGGCGATTAGGACAGGACTGGTCTATCTTATTATTAAAAAGCGACACCACCACACATGCAAAGAGCCCGCTCTCAGGAAGCAATGGGGCACAAGGCTCCTGGCAACCTACCGGCATAGTGGTAATTTGCTAAAGGATGACATTTTAACCTGACTGGCTTCCGCAGCAGCAGCATTTCCAGAGCAGCCTGCAGACCCATGGGAGAGAAAAGGCGAAAGTCAGTAACGGGGCTGTGTGTCCTAGGAAGGCCATTACCTAAGAGGGAAAAGGAGTCAGCATTGCAGAGGCAGGAGCTGGGGTGCCAGAAGGAAACCCAGAGGGAGACTCCCCTAACTGAGGCTCCCTTTCAGGCCAGCGCCCCACAGGGCTCACCACTCGAACATCTCCCCCAGCCCGTGCCTGCGGCCAGTTGGTCATGTCAGAAAAAAATACAGGCGGTGGTCGAGACCCCGCTCCCTCCTTGGTGAAGGCCCTGGCCTCTGAGAGGTGGTGGGGCCTCCTCTGAATGGAGACTGAATCTCGGGGGAGAGGCTCCACAGAAATGAGTGGGTGGTTTGGAACTGTTTTTGCAGAAAAATCATGTTTCAATTACAACTTAACATAAACAGTTTTATTAGTAATAACTGTACTACACACTGTCTTTCCAGAGAAGCCTAGAAATATGCCTCCTT